AGTATGTTTATGTTCAATTTGATATATTGCAAATATATCGAACTGAATATTAACCATCTTTTAATCTCAATTGTAGTATTGGCTCGCCGACAATAGCAAATCCTCAATATACAGTAGTAAGGACGCAAACCCAGCCTTGACCACAGAACATCCGGGGGAGGGGGGTATTTTGGGGCAATTACGTTAGAGAGTTGGAAGCAGCTAATAGATGGCGACAGTATCAGTAAAAACCTAGTTATCATTTTGTGCAAGGGAGTGGGCAATCTATAGTTGTCTTCATCTATGGTTTTATGTTCTATGGTCTGTGATTAAACAACAAAATGTTGATAAACAAAGAGGCATTTACTGATCTCCAGGAAAAATACCAAAAAGTGATCAAACTTCTTCTGGAAGACAGCAAATCAGATCCGGAGAATGAACCCTATTTGTCCAAATACTCTGCCAAGCAGATTCTGATTGGAATGAAGGCAAACATAGAGAATTTACTGAGAAATCACCCTGCTGAAGGCCCAGAAAATCTAAAATTAACTGGTAATACAAGCTGATGCTGTGCACGAAACTGCTTAGCTGATTAATTATTGCTTGCAGGTATGTATAGTACAGTTTTTCTATACTTGGGAATGGTGGCAGTTGATACAGAAGAGATATCGATCGGGGAAAAGCATTTGGAGAAGTGCAGAGAAATAATTGAGAAATTAGAAGCCCTTCCCGAAGCAGTTATGATTGCTTTGAACATGTACAATCAATTTGGGATCTTATGGTCGCAGAGAGAGCCAGAAAAATCCAAGATCTACCTTGAAAAAGCTCAGCAGTTGTACACCAGTTTCAAGGCGTCTGGTGAAGCGCCCATTAATGTATCGGAAATATTCGATCCAAATCTAGAAAAACACGATGAGGAATTAGCCTTCAACAATATGGAGAAGATTCATACATTGACATTGTATTATTTAGCACAGATTTTTGGAAAACTGAAAGAAGACTTTAAAAGTGCTGTATACTGCCATATAACTTTGCAGAGGCAGCTCGAAATGGATGACTATGAGCCTATAGACTGGGCGCTTAATTCAGCCACACTCTCACAGTTCTTCATGGAGAAATGTGGCTTTAAACAAGCTAGGCACCATTTGGCAGCCAGTTCATATATCCTGAGCAAGTATAAGATCGAAGATCTCAACGCGGCAACAGATATCAATGAGGAATATGAAGCCAAACTGGAAACTTTCAATCACAGACATGCAGATGTGGCACGATGTTGGGTTAAATATGGGATATTTCTTCTTGGAAAGTCAAAGGACAGACTGCTGGCTCACACCGAAGACATCGACGAAAAGTGCAGTATGGTATCTGATCTGTCCCGCATGAAATTGTCTGGTGATGCCCAAGTTACCATCGAGGATTTGCAGAATTTAACATTCCGGGGAATCGATGTGGGTTCATATGAAAGCCAAATCACTGACCAATTCATTTTGCAATTCTCTGATGCAAAAATAGTGTTTCTGCAGACGCAAGAGTGGATTAAACTAGCTGAGGAATACTACACGTTGGAAACGTTGGCTTCAGACTATATAGAGATTGTCCAAGATCACACTCAGCTGTACTTAAACCTGTTATTTTTTGAAGATAATCCAGACAACCAAGCCAAGCTGCATAAAAGGCGGATTGATTTACTGGAGAACGTAGTCAGTAAAGTGAACCCGCAGTATTACATGAACTACTGCAGGCAAATTTGGTTCGAGCTGGGCCATTCTTACACTAGCATTTTAGACATCAAGTCCGATAAGTTAAGGGAGAGTAAAGAAAAACCGAAGCCTCAGGCTTTGGCAAAAATCAACATTCTAGTCGACAAGTGCATCACGCACTACACGTCCTTTCAGTCTTCATTCAAAGTCAACATTGCGGAGCTAGAGAAAGTGCAGGGCGATGTGGAGAAGCCTTTTCTGCAAACCTACTTTCGAGTGGCCGCTTTGTATGGCCGCTACATCACAATGGACAGGAATGTGCAATTAAAAAACGTGGAACAACAGTATGAACATTACAAATTTTTGACCGACTATTGCAAGAAACATCCCAATGCTGCTGAACTAATGCCAGTCGAGTTGAACATCTGCAAAGAAATGGTCATGTTGCTGCCAGTTAGAATGTTAAGAATGAAAGAACCCACTTTGAATTCTTAAATTGAAAAGTTTAATATTTATTGAATGCTGTAAAGTAATTCTAAGGGCTTATAAAGTTTAGTCTTTTGTCCTTTAGTGAATGTTTTATCTAGCCGGATAGTATACGTAAAAGTTAACGGTTTGTCTAGTTTTATTCTACAAAACTATATCCATTTGCCCATTGAAAATTCACGCACTTTGAGGGGGTTACAAGTTTGAATCATCCGCCAAATGTTAGTTCAGACAGAGGGCGCCAGAAGGCAACTGTGGAAGGATTGCGGCCATTTTTAAAATTCCATTTTCTTCGTGGATAGTTAAGCGATTAGTTCGTGATTTTCAGCAATAATCGGACTGTAGAAATAAGTGAATATAGAAAATTGAGTTAGAGCGGAAATGTTAAAGATTTTTGCGTGCATCGAAACCGTTTCTCCTAGATAACTAATATAGAAAACAGGTAAATATGATGACATTCGGAAACTAGTCTTGCTTACCATTCTTTGGCAAGTGCGACGTGTGTCAGTAGCCATTTTCGTACTGAATTAAATCAGATATCAAGTTTATATTCTGGAAATACCCGAAACATCTTGCGGGAATACGGGCGTTTTCTAAACCGTTTCGATATATTTCCAGGGTTTTGATTCAATATTGCCGATCTCGCTTAGCTAGACGATTATTAGGGCTGATAAAACTTAAATTTTCTTTGCATTTTCCAGAAATTGCGTCGGCTCCTGCAGGGATCCTGTTCGTTCTACATATTGTAGAAGATAAATTTGGGTTTTATAAACTCTATTTTTCTTTCTGAGATCAGCTTTATACAGACTTCGAAAATATGATGACGGACAGAATAAACATGAACCATTTAACTCTGAATAGTAAAATGTGAGTAACTTAATTCAATTTTATTATTTGCATCCGCATTTCAAGGTACAACATTGTCACTTATTTTTAGCCTGTTTATAAATATGCCCCTGCAGCTATTTATTTTTAGGCCCCATCCTCAATCAGTAGTCGTTATCGCTGCATTTGTATTTCCCATTGTTTTCATTACATATGCATCTAATAATTTGTCCACTAAATACAGTAAACCTCTAATCCGAACTCATTATTGTAAAGGCAAATTCGGATTAACAAAATTACAATTTGTCATCTGAAAAGTATGTTTGGGCCCTGATACGTCTAATTTTTCGGACCGCAGGAACAAAATCTGTATTCAGTTTTTAAATGTAATTCTCTCCTTGCTCATTTTTTCAACTTGAGGCTGATTACGTGCTGATCAGCAGCTAGTGTCTTTTGAGGGAGCAATTTCCAAAAAAGGCCACTTGTCACATTGTAGATTTCGTGCAACAGCTGAAGTTACCGTACTTTGTTTCGAAGCATTTCGAAGACTCGGCTACCTCGTTATTGTTTGAATTAACGGGGTTTTAATGTACTCACTAAGAATATTTACTTTTGCTACCAATTCATGTGACAACGTAATTGACTAATCATGTTTGATTTGCTACTTATCTGGTATGCACAATATTAGCAACAAAAGTTTCAAAATTAACATACTGAGCCATATTTTTAACAATTTGTCCCTGATGGCCTTTCGTTACCGGCTAAAATCAGCATTGATCTCATCGTTCGCAATATAAACTCAACAATTTTCTGCTTAGATTGCAGATTTATCCAATTATTCAGCATCGAGCGCACAAATATTCATTGTTATTATGTTGAACGGTTACCATGCCCAATTCTAATCTGTTTTATTCCTTACTTGATCAATTACAAAAAAAATCGTAACGAAATGTGTTGGTATGCAGTATTGAAATCCACAAATATTTTTGCAACTAAACACATGTTTGGAATGCCGTCAATGCTCTTTCTGATATTGCAAAAATGTGGTCCTAGATTTACAAATTGGGATGTGTAAATGATTACGATCATTTCAGGGACGCTGATGTTAAAATGGAGTTAAAAGACGATTTAGGATGGAAAGCCAAACTGAAAATCCCAGCAAAAGACCACAGGATACAAACGACTGTGAGTACTTACTTCAATTGCCAAAACAGCATGATAAATATTCTTATCGGTGGTTAGTATTAATTGACCATAACTTTCAACTAACTGGTTAAGGTTTACTGTGATGAGTAGTTTGGATTCCCCTTCATTTTGCTGCGTAAATGATAACTCCCTTTCTGAAGTAAACCAATTGCTTGGAAAGCGAAATTATCGCTAATACTAAACGATTGAGTCAACATTTGTCTTGTCCACAGGATGTAACGGACACAAGAGGTAACGAGTTTGAGGAATACTGCTTGAAACGAGAACTGTTAATGGGTATCTTTGAGAAGGGATGGGAAAAACCGTCGCCCATCCAGGAAGCAGCCATTCCCATCGCATTAACTGGAAAGGACGTTCTCGCTAGAGCAAAGAATGGAACAGGTGAGTGTTTCTTTTGTAATTTTTGCGAAAAAAATAATAACAAAACGTTTGTTGGCTAGGAAAAACTGGTGCCTACTCAATACCGGTTCTGGAACAAATTGATCCAACGAAAGACTGTATTCAAGCTTTGGTAATTGTACCCACACGAGAGCTTGCATTACAAACGTCCCAAATTTGTATAGAATTGGCGAAACACTTACTGGTAAATATTTCCTTCCTAGTTTATATTCAATGGGTTGCATATAAAGTAAGCCCAGCGTGTTTCACTCGTAGTGCGTTGGGGGGACAAAATATGCTAAACAATTAACTTGGCCTTTCAATAACCATTTTGCTGCTTTTCTCAATGGCATCAAATAACGTTGGTCACATACAACATCTTTTGTATCTCATTTGAAATCAATCTAAATGCCTTGTTGAGGAATTTAATATTACTCATCTATAATCAGATTCGCATCATGGTGACGACAGGAGGCACCAACTTGCGAGATGACATTATGAGGATTTATCAGAAGGTGCAAGTTATCATTGCCACACCTGGACGTATTTTAGATCTCATGGAAAAGGGTAAGTGTCTTATTGAACTCATAAATGTGAAATGATGGGGTTTTAATTTAATTTTCACTTGTTTCACAGGGGTTGCACAGATGGACCAGTGCAAAATTTTAGTATTAGATGAAGCCGATAAACTTCTATCGCAAGACTTCAAAGGCATGCTCGATGTTGTGATCAAAAATCTGCCTGAAAAGAGACAAGTTTTGCTGTTTTCGGCAACGTTTCCACTGACCGTGGAACAATTCATGAGGAAACACTTGCGGTCTCCGTATGAAATCAACCTTATGGAGGAACTGACGTTGAAAGGTGTTACTCAATACTACGCTTTTGTGCAGGAACGCCAAAAAGTCCATTGTTTGAATACTCTTTTTTCCAAGGTAAGAATTGTTCGGCGGCTTGCTTCAGCATTTAATTAACACATTTCATGTTGCAGTTACAAATTAACCAAAGTATTATATTCTGTAATTCGACGCAAAGGGTGGAACTGTTGGCGAAAAAAATAACTGAGTTGGGATATTGCTGCTATTACATCCATGCAAAAATGGCACAGACACATCGTAATCGCGTGTTCCACGACTTCAGGTCGGGCTTATGTCGGAATCTTGTTTGCTCCGATCTCTTTACAAGAGGTGAGATTTACTCCAATTGAACTAGGGATTGCTTACGTTCTATTAATTTTTTATAGGTATCGACGTGCAAGCTGTGAATGTGGTAATCAATTTCGATTTTCCCAAAATGGCAGAGACATATCTTCATCGTATTGGTCGATCAGGACGTTTCGGTCACTTGGGTATCGCCATCAATTTGATTACCTACGAGGATAGATTCGCTCTGCATCGCATTGAACAAGAGCTGGGAACGGAAATCAAACCGATACCGAAAATCATTGACCCGAGGCTGTATGTTGCCAAACTGGGAGAAGAAGATCCTGAAGACTTGGTGAAGTAACGGAGAAACTCGAGGTGTCGGCAATCTAACGTTGTAAATATGTGGATGAACAAACGTTAACAGATTTTTTTCAAATCGCGAAGGACAACTACGTTTTAATTTTTTTATACAGAAAAATAAGGATAATTTTTTCGGGAAATTTATTAGTGAACGGTGTACAGCGCGCAACTTGTACAGGGATGCATTGATATTTTTTGTGGTGTACAATTGACTTTAGTGAGCATTTCCATTCAACTGTTGGCCTTCATCTGAATGTAGTCTGTGATAAATAATTTCACTCGTCATTTTTGCATTGTTCAAGTATTAAATTTAATCATTATGGACAACGGCTTGAATTGGCTTTCGGATAAATGTTCTGTTACCCAACATTACATCTGAACTCCCTGATTGTCCTTTGTACATCCCAGCAGTATCATTGCAACTAAGGCATTTCATCAACTTTTCTTGGGTTAATTTAACAACAGAATCTCCGTTAACTCGACAACGGTTGATTGAGGTTGTACAGTTGCGCGGTACCAGCAGTGGAAAGACTACTCTACGGTGTAAAACTAGGAGAAAATGGACTCCAAAAAGTGAATTATGTGATAAATGTATTTATTACTAGAAGGTGGAAAATTGACTTGATCAATTGTTAGGGGATTCTCTAGAGGAACATACTGTTGAAAATTTTATATTCTGCTGTGAGGGTATAGGATTATGAGCGCTATGTTCTAAAGCAAAAAGTAATGTTGCCGTCTTTCGCTAGGATTTTCAAAATTTTCACTACAGGCAACAAATTTTAACCGCAACTTTTCTTTTCTAAATTAAGTATCTGAATGTAATGGGGGATTATTTTTTTCGGGGAATTTCGAATCGCATGAAAACCAGATGTTGGTTTGCAGAATTGTCGTTTTTTGAAAAATTTCTTAGAGTCATAGGCGCAGGCCGTTCTGGGAAATTAAATTATTTGTTATCGGCAAGAAAAATGTCTGCGCGCCCAAAACTTATCATTTACTTTCATTTCCTTCTTTCGGCCTTAATGTTGGGTAACAAGTTTTGGGCTTGCCCATTGAAATATGGTGTATTTTGTTATAAAAAATCCACAAAAGTGAAGAGTTTTTCATCTTATAGGAAGAACAATTGTGCAATAACTCAATACTGCAGTGCAAACAACAACTCTGTGTAAAGTTTGGCAAAACTGATCTTGATTAACTACAACCAATGAACATGAAAGGGAATTAGTCAAGTAATATATAAACTCTTCACACAACAATGTGTTTATTTAACTTGCGTTTGGGACTAATTATGGTGTATAATTTAGAATCAATTTTTCGTTATAGACTGTTCTGATACGTCTGCAGTACGCTGCGCAACAAATTTAATGGCAGGCCACTGCTGATTTAACATCGCATGAAAAACTCATTTCTAAATTGCACACCAGTTAGTCATAGGCTTCCACCATTCATTTTATCGTTGGTTAGTCCAATGAGTCCCTTTTCTTTTCGCAGCTACTTTACTAACCATATTTAAATATTGTAACGGAAATGGCCTGGGGTACTCACGTTTGGAATGGGGGGATCGAAATTCATGGTATTTCAGTAAATGGAAGCCCCATTCGTATAAGGGCATCTCACTTTATGCATCCTATATTTTTTTCCTTTTTAACGTTTGATGGATAACTCKGACGGAAACGCATACGTTAACTCGGAGATATAGCACACCTCGGTTGAGTTGCTGCGTTATCGAAAATGTTATCCTGAACTGTTAAGTCGCCATAACGTGTGGACGTTAAAAATAGCATTTATGATACAGCACAGGGCTGATTATATAGTTTAATGAATCCTTCAAAAAAAATAATACATGCAGTTGGGAAAATAATGTAAAATTTTCGGAAGCAGCATTCTAATGAACGAAAAACCATGAGGTTTTACAGCTGGGAACGGTTCTGCCACTCCTGGATCTATCAGTTTGCCAGTTACTGTCTGGCATTAACAATACTGACAAACTCTGGCTTCAAGGAAGCTCCTCCAACCAGAAAGCCATCAATATCGGCTTGAGATCCCAGTTCCTTTGCATTTGCCCCTGTTACCGAACCGCCGTATTGGATTCGGACAGCGTTCGCCACCTCAGGGCTAATATTTTTGGAAATCCACTGGCGTAGCGACTGATGGACTTCCTGAGCTTGCTGGGGCGTGGCGGTTTTCCCAGTACCAATCGCCCAGACGGGCTCATAAGCTAGTACCACATTGGACCTGTAACAGACATTTTAATTAATGATTGGAAGAACGACTTCAAAATATTTTCCTTCCTTACCAATCCTTGATTTGATTTGCGATGGCTTGGGTCTGCCTGAAGACAACCTCCTCAGTTTTACCCGCGTCCCTTTCGTCCAGAGTTTCCCCGATGCAAGCGATTACTTTCAGTCCGTTGCTCAATGCAAAAGCCACTTTTTCAGCGATCAATTCGTCGGATTCGCCGAAAATCTGACGGCGTTCTGAATGCCCCAAGATTACCCAGTTTACGCCAATGTCTTTCAACATTAACGGCGAAGTTTCGCCAGTGAACGCGCCCTTTTCGGCTTTGTACGCATTCTGAGCAGCCACCTCAACATTGGCTGGGGCATTGGACTTTACGTAGTCCAAGTAGATTGCTGGAACTCCGATCACGACCTCAGTATCGGCGTTCAAAGGACCCGCTTTGAGGAATCCCAAAATTTCGTTAATTTGGGCTTTGGTTCCGTTCATTTTCCAGTTTCCACCGACAACGAATTTGCGACCCATGGTGCTCTGCTGAAAATTGGAGTAATTATTGCAGGAAACATTGTGGTGCTCGCAAATATCCGCACTTTTAAGCGGAATCGCTGTTTTTCTTGAGCGCAACGCCCATGCAGGCTTGGAGCACTTTAGAACGAGCATATCTACGAAGAAGGTTTTAATGTTGGGGTACTAACTGTTAAAAGAGCGGCGTTGGCGCGGCATGTTGTGGCCATTATTTGACTGCAATTGGGCAATTTCTACATGTGACTGGAATTTTGACAACTATTTTTCTTCTCTCAGGTTCAAAGTGTCAGTAAAACAATCTCTGTGGATTAAGGTGCAGGTAAATTTCTGGTTTATTCGAGGCTCGGCACTACGAATCGATTAGAGTCTAGTGGACTTCGACAGCCACTGAAGTTCAATGTATTTGTTGTGCTGACAAAGAGCTCACACACCTACTAATCGAAATTCCGCAGGTAGAGGATGAGGAGGGGGTGGAGCAAGCAGCCATCCAACAAGCGCATGGCAGAAGCTCGGTGACTACGGAATTGCCGGTGGTTCGGGAAGAACTCCTGCAGAAAAATTACCAACCATAGTAGGCTACGCAGGACATCCCACAGAAGAAAACAGAATCGCCCTTAACCGACAAGGGCAACTGCTGAAAGATGCCTTACTGAAGCACAGGAAGCAGAAATGGGAAAACCGCTTGAGAGAGTTGAATCCTGAGGACCAAAGCATATGGAGTATGCAAAAGGCCCTAAGAAGAGAAGGTACCAAAATTTCAGCTCTCCACGGAACTCAAGGTTTGGTATTTACAGATGGCGGCAAAGCTGAGGCGTTTGCGGAAGCGATCGAGAGTGAGGCCGTGAGGCCAGGGTAAACCACCACCCAAACGATGACCTACACCACGAAGCAACTGTCAGGACAGTAAATAAGCTTCGGAGTGAAAAGCCAGGCAGCCACCTCCCCCCAACTTCGCCAGCAGAAGTTGCAGCCATCATCAGAAAAACCAAAGCTAAGAAAACCCCTGGAACAGATGGAATCAGCAACAAAATGCTGAAGAACCTGCCGAGAAAGGGACTGGTAGCTGTCGCTAACTTGATTAATGCTATTTTCAGGACTGGTCATTTCCCAAGCATCTGGAAGCACTCGGAAGTCATCATGCTCCCGAAGCCCAAGAAAAACAGGACTTTCCCCCAAAACAACAGGCCTATCAGCCTGTTGCCCGCTCTCAGCAAAGTAGCCGAAAGGGCTACACTGAGGAGACTTAAGGAGGAAACGAGCGAGCTTGATTTGCTTCCGCCAGAACAGTTTGGATTCCGAGGAAAGCATTCCACGGAACTTCAGCTGCTCAGAATAGTAGAAAGATGCACCAAATAAATGAATCAGTACCGAACGACTGGAATACTCACACTGGATGTCGAAAGAGCGTTCGACAGAGTGTGGAGAGACGGTCTCATCTATAAGATGATGGAAATAGGTATTAACAAGAAACTGTGCCAGTTAATAGACAGTTATATT